CCCGCCAGCATGCTGACTGGGGAATTCTGGGAGTTGAAGTCCACACATCTTAAAGTTGCCAAGTTTGAAAAACACTGCTTTAGTATATTCCTTCCCCAACTGGCCCTCCAGATGTTTTGGGACTTCAACTCCCAACAAGAGAGTTTTATCCCCAAGCAAATTACATGCGTATTTTTATAACAAACATACCCATCGACATCTTTCTCGGGTGCCACAGCGTTGGTTATTTTCTCTGTGTTGATGGGCTTGTTTGAATCCAGAGGCAATTGCACTATAAACCCGTGGATGCCAGGGTCTTCGTTCAAATTGTTAATGCATTTGAGCACCTGCATGTTCATAGGAATAGTGAAGGGAAGGAGAAACAAGCCAGTTCAGATGTAATGCTAAGCAAACCACAGAAGAGGCTTCCTGATTTTTTTCACCACTCCTGCTGGCAGGAGGCATCAAGCATGAGTGATTGTGCAGTAGGCACAGGAACACTTCTCAGCCCCAACAGACCAGAATTATTCAGAATTTTACCTTATAATTATGAATGGATCAAAATGCAGTGTTATAGCTATTCATACAACCTGCTAAACCAAGGTCAAACAACAACCTAGTAGGCGGTGTCAACCCAGCTATGGTTTATAAACCATTTCTAAACCATAGTTTATGATAGTGTCCCCAACCTTTCTGGCTCACATTTGGAATCTCTTGAAAAATGGCTGTTGTGAGGGCAGGGCCATTTACCAGGTTGTAAATGCGGTTGTTCCCTGCCGCTAGCTCTAGCCCCATTAAATACTCTATACCATTTTAGCTTATCTTTGCTTTTTTTCTAAGAAAGTAAGTATATTTCTAAACAACACCCATCCACCTAATGATTCTGGGGTCTATCAGGGGTTCTTGAGGTTGGTGCTGTATGTTTTTCATTTATTATTTTAATTAACTGAATCATTAAAAAAATGAAGCAGGGCCTACAAGGTTTATGACTGAGGTCAATGTGTCAATGTAGCCAACTGTGGCTTATTCAATAATGCATAATTAAGAAACCATGGCTTGACATGACATGCAATTTTTAGCCGTTGTTTCTGCCTGGTAATACTTTTTTGTAAGAAGTTCCTAAATTAAAAATGTTAAGTTTAGATACAGTTAGAAGGTAGATAACGTTAAAAAGGGGAAAAAAATCATTTCAACAATGGTTCAGGAGAATACAGATTTCCAAGAAGCAACAGAAGACATATTACCAGGTGGGAATGACCTGATCACATATAGCTGATGCAGACATTTCTTAAAGTGAACTGGATTACCTCAGCTTCTGTAGCAGTGTTCGGCAACTTGATGTGATTGGCATTGATCCCAATCTGGGAAAACAAAATGCCAAAAAAAGAGAAAAAAATTACAGTTTATGAACTGTGACACGATGAACACCGATAAAGATTAAACAGTCTCATTTTGCAAGCATTATAGTGTTTCTCATACACAGAGCTCAAAACGTTCATCTCTCCTTGCTACAACGATAGACACTTCTTCTGGATTTTTTTTCCAGAAAAAAATATATAACAAGAGGTAAAATGTTCATTGGGCAAGGCAGGAAAATGTATTCCTATGTGGCCAAGACAACCAGGCAACTTTCTTGTCACACTGCAATGCAAGAGTTTCATTGTCTGTCATCGCAATACAGTATGGGAAAATAAGAACCAATCATGTGTTCAATCCTGGTCTTGGAACAGAAATATATATATGTGTCTGTGTATGTGTGTGTGTATACACACTTCATTGTAGCTTTAATTAAGTTACAGCTGCAACAAGTCACTTGTTTGGAGCAATTAGCAGCTGCTCCTGTGCAAGTTGGCAAATTATCCTTGGTTACCACAACAGTCCTCCATAACGTGCTACTTATCCTAGCTTTGTACAGCTGAGAAGGACAATTGTCACAAAGTCTTTCCACCTGGAAGAGGGGAAGTGCAGTGTTCCTACTGCTACAGATACAGTTTCCATATGCTGCTGCTCTTATGGAAAGAGCACACCAACATTATTTCCTGGGTTATGAACTGAACCACCAAGCTATGGAAGCTTTGTATCTCTTCTATATACACACATATAGTTTTTATTAAAGAATTTTTAACAAAGTAAAAGCTATAAGTGAAAATAAGAGAATAAAGAAAAATAGTGAATAGTGAGAAAAAAAATAGAA